AACGAAATCCTTTTTATAACGATTTTTTTTTTCTGGGAATTTCGTTATACCCAGGTTTAACTGTACCACCTATTTACATCATTTTATAAATCCTTCAGCCCCGCTTCACAAGGTTAAATGAAAAAATAATAATCTTTCATCAAGTTTTTGTGGTATCGACTCGAAATTTTTATGGAAGCACTTTGAGGCCATTTTTAGTGTATGTGCTAATTTTCATCAAGATCCAACCAGAAACAACAAAGTTGGTTCCCAAAGGTACGTCCCCATTGTGGGAATTGAGGCTGACCCGCTGCCTTTGCGCGGGCTTTCCCGCCTTTTCTGCCGTTCTCATGTCCCGACATGTCTGCCCTCCTTTGCTGTCTGCCGCGCTGGGAAAGGCGGAGTGACGTATAACTCCCTCACCCGGTAGCGGATGTTGACTGTGGCGCCGCGCGCGGGGACTCCTGAGAGGTTTTCGCGCGCTGCGTCGGGAGCGGTCAGATACTCTCCGGGACAGCAAACGGTGAGCCACGCTATCTTTCCCGTCCGTCGACTCCCGTCAGTCGGGGGCTCGTCGGACTTCGCTGACGGCGCCTCGCGCCCAAGGCGAACGCTCACCTGTTGTTGTCCCGCTGCGTACGCACGGCCGAAGGGCAGTACGGTGTCCTAGTGCGTGGCCTAGCTACGCCGACCCGTCTCCCTCCGAAGCCAACGCGAGCGCCTTTGCCCTCGCTCGAGCAACCGGGCCCTTTGTCCCGGTGTCTCCGTGGATCACCTTTACCGCGGAGACGTGCTCGCGGCACCAAGTGTAGTACTTTGTGCCCGTGGCGTGGATAAGCCTACTTGCTTTCCCGCCGCGTCTTTTTGCAACGGGCTGTACTGCGTTTGGTGTTGCCACAATAAAGTGTTGCGACTTGAGCAGTATCGTGTTTCCCGCCACGGCGACGGTTAACGCGTGCCCAGCGGCTCGCTAAGACCGGACCCACGCTGGTGGCCGTACTTCTTCGGGATACGTGTACACCACACTGGCGCCCAACGTGGTATCAAAAGCTCTAGCTTTTGACTGCTCTTAGCGAGTCAGTTTGCCTGCGCGATTCGGGCTCGTCGCAACATGTCTGCTTCGTGGCATGCCGCGTTGCACCAAGAGGCCACCGCCTCTATCGACGGGCGCCCTTCGGCGCTCGCCTGTGTCGTCACCCCTTTTTTGTGGTGAATACACTCCTACGTGGTAGCTGACGCGCTATCTCGTGCCCCCTGTTGTCTGCCGAGAACCTGGATTTCGGTGCGACGGCCGCTAGCGGTGCCTTAGCACTTGCAAGCGTCGGGGGCGAAACAGCAGCTTCGCCGCCATTCGGCGTGAAGGGTGAGTCCCCATGCGGACAAACCTTGGCTGCTAACCAGGTAAGCGGCGCACCGCGAAGCGGCCGAGCGGGGGAGCTTTCCGAAGGCCACGAGGCCGAGAGCGAACCCGTAACGCCGACTCAAGCGGTTGTTGCTGCGGTCCTGAGTGGGCGCGATACCAGACTCCCCCGTTTGGGAGAATGGGAATCGCTTTCAGCAGCAAAGAGCTACTGAAGGCTCAGCAGGGTGATCCGTTTCGAATCTCGGAGGGACGGAGCGCCGTATACGCTGCTTGCTCTGCGGCGGGCGCCGTTAAACCGTCTTGACGAGGTGCGGAGCGCCGTTACGCTGCTTGTTCTGAGGCGGGCGCGATTAGGGGGCTGAAACAGCGTGTGTCGCTGAGTCCCCGGCGGATTCATTTTGCTGGACTATGACGGGCTCCTGCTGAAATATATAGCCACTGACGACGAGTCCATAGACCCGTTTAAGGTGGTTATGCCCAAATGTCTGAGAGCCGCACTGTTGCGATCCTCTCACGACGAACCCATGGCCGGTCACCTGAGTGGCTCGAGAGTTTTTGCAAACTGAGCAATGTTGTGACCTGGCCCGGCACGAAGCGTGGCTTTTATCGCTATTCCGGTTGAGCCAAGGGTTGGAAAGCTGGCCGGTCTTACGAACCGATTGTCAGTGAGCGTCCGTGGCGCGTACTAGCAGAAAGATCCCCTTTGGGAAAACTCAGCCGTGCCCATATCGCAGACCTGAAACCCTTTGTCACGGTCTGACGAGCTCGCGCCAGAGCCCTTCGGCACTTCGCACCAGCAACGGGGCACACCCGGAGCGGCGGACCGCATTCGGACCCTGCGCCGGTATAATCTGAGGAAGCGGTCACCTTTGTGATTTTGCGCCGGACGGCGGACTTCTCCGCAACCGAAGGCCCTCAGTTTTACTGTCTAGCCTCAGTATAGGCTAACTTCTTTACGGCCTTTTCTCGTAAAGAAGTTGACCCCGCCCTGTCTGCTGCCAGTGTTTCTTTTTTTTTTTAAGTGTTCATGTGTATTTTATGTTTTTTGTCTAATATTAAGTGTTATTTGTGTTTTATGTTTTTGCCAGATGTTGAGTGTCGTTTTTGCTCTGTTTTTACTTTTTTTATCGTGTTCGTTTCGTCTACCGCGAAGGGAGCTGTGTGTGACCTTGAGTGTCGGTGCTTGCCCGGAGAGAGAGCCGAAGGACGCTTTGCGCCTACGCTCGCGCAGCTGTCGGCGGTGTGTGTGCGTGCTTCTGTGCGTGTGTAAGTGCGTGACGCTTCGGTGCGAGCCCGCGAAGAGTGCGTCATGGCTTCCCCCCATCGATGCGGACGCTGGAGGTGCTGGGGGGTCATTGACCCACTGACGTCAGACCGTCTGGCTGTGCCCTGCTCTCGGCCGTCGCCGAAGAAGCCACGCTGCCTTTCCCACCATGGCTTCTGCGCGAGGCCAGCTGAAAGCAGCTATATGCTGCCGGCCAATGCCAGGGCGCCTCGCAGCCAGTTGTGGTTCGGCATCCCTGACCACTGGAGAGGCCCGGCTTCGCGCAACGTCCCAGCTCCATCATCGAGCCAGAAATGCGGGGCCTCCGAAGAAGCACAGCCGACGCAGCGTTCGTCGGACTCGCTGCTTATCAAAACTCGCAACGAGCCATCAGTGAGCCCCCTCCCGTACCTCTGACCTCGCACTCGGGCATCGCACCCAGCGGACACTGTCACGCCTTTACCGCCCTTCTGCGCACTGGACGCTATCCCCCTTTAGCACCACGAACACTAGTGCCACGTTGCTGTGCTCCCTTCCGCAGTTATTTGTATAGTGTCATGTGTTTATTTTGTTATTTATGTTTTTGTTCCTCATTTGTAATCTTTTTTTTCAGCAGCAGTAACAGGGCTGGGACTGAGGTTAGCTGTCGCTCATAGCAGTGTCATTTTAACTGCATGGGTGACGTCCGGCTGCCTTTTGCAGACCGGTAAAGGGCAAATTTAGGAGAGGGGGATGTGGGAATTGAGGCTGGCCCGCTGCCTTTGCGCGGGCTTTCCCGCCTTTTCTGCCGTTCTGATGTCCCGACATGTCTGCCCTCCTTTGCTGTCTGCCGCGCTGGGAAAGGCGGAGTGACGTATAACTCCCTCACCCGGTAGCGGATGTTGACTGTGGCGCCGCGCGCGGGGACTCCTGAGAGGTTTTCGCGCGCTGCGTCGGGAGCGGTCAGATACTCTCCGGGACAGCAAACGGTGAGCCACGCTATCTTTCCCGTCCGTCGACTCCCGTCAGTCGGGGGCTCGTCGGACTTCGCTGACGGCGCCTCGCGCCCAAGGCGAACGCTCACCTGTTGTTGCCCCGCTGCGTACGCACGGCCGAAGGGCAGTACGGTGTCCTAGTGCGTGGCCTAGCTACGCCGACCCGTCTCCCTCCGAAGCCAACGCGAGCGCCTTTGCCCTCGCTCGAGCAACCGGGCCCTTTGTCCCGGTGTCTCCGTGGATCACCTTTACCGCGGAGACGTGCTCGCGGCACCCTGTGTAGTACTTTGTGCCCATGGCGTGGATAAGCCTACTTGCTTTCCCGCCGCGCCTTTTTGCAACGGGCTGTACTGAGATAGGTAATAGTGCACTTGAAGTTGTAAAAGACTATGTCTACTTAGGGCAGGTAATAACCGCAGAGCCGAACCACGAGATTGAAGTAACTAGAAGAATAAGAATGGGGTGGAGCACATTCGGCAAGCACTCTCAAATTATGACAGGTAGATTGCCACTATCCCTCAAGAGGAAGGTATATAACAGCTGTATCTTGCCGGTACTTAGCTACGGAGCAGAAACCTGGAGACTTACAAAGAGGGTTCAGCTTAAATTGAGGACGACGCAGCGAGCAATGGAAAGAAAAATGGTAGGTGTAACCTTAAGAGACAAGAAGAGAGCAGAGTGGATTAGGGAACAAACGGGGGTTAAGGATATCATAGCTGAAATCAAGAAGAAGAAATGGACATGGGCAGGGCATGTAGCGCGTAGACAGGATAACCGCTGGTCATTAAGGGTAACTGACTGGATTCCCAGAGAAGGGAAGCGGGTTAGGGGGAGACAGAAGGTTAGGTGGGCAGATGAGATTAAGAAGTTTGCGGGTATAAATTGGCAGCAGCAAGCACAGGACCGGGTTAACTGGCGGAACATGGGAGAGGCCTTTGTCCTGCAGTGGACGTAGTCAGGCTGATGATGATGATGATGATGATGTACTGCGTTTGGTGTTGCCACAATAAAGTGTTGCGACTTGAGCAGTATCGTGTTTCCTGCCACGGCGACGGTTAACGCGTGCCCTGCGGCTCGCTAAGACCGGACCCACGCTGGTGGCCGTACTCCTTCGGGATACGTGTACACCACACCATTAATGGTCATTTCATTTTCTAAAAGTAAGACACAGCGCAAGGGCTACACTGATCATAAACAAGAAAAAATCATGCTTTCCCACAGCTGCGACAAACAGACAATGATGACGAAAGCTACTGTTAAGGATGTACATACATCCTTCCGCAACATAGACCACAATATACTGCAGACCTGATGTTATATCACGACTGCACTACATTACATTTCTCAGCTTGTGACTGACTGCAGTCCCAGTGAAAGCGGAACACCAAGAGAAAAATTTCTGCAAGACAGCCTGCCTCACCTGCATTTGTTCGTCAATGGAGTGCATCTGGGACTGCTCGGCTTGCTTCAAGTTCTCCAGCTCTTTCTCGTCGTCCTCGACAGTCTTCTGCCACTTGCGCACATTCTCGCCCGTGTCCTTCGAGCGCTCGTACTCGAGGCGGTTTACGATGCGGCTTTTCTGGTTCTCAAACTCGAGCCGCTTGCGGTCGCGCTCCTGGGTGGCACGCAGCTCCCGCTCCTCGTACTGCCGGATGTTGTCGACACCGATGCTGGCGCAGAAGTCGGCGAACACACGGTCCTCGATGCCATTTTGCGCCTCCTTGAGTTCATCCACCTGCGAAAAAGAGAACAGCCCCCATTACTGCTAATGCTAACATGCTGCCATGTTTACTAGTGTAAAGCCTGTGCTCATTGAAGGCCCTCCACCTGCACTTCGGAGGGCTAAAATTCGGAACAAAAGACGTCCCCAAAAAGTATGTGCATACCTGCAAGCTGGTAAGTTTTTGCCAGATGTTACTAGAGGGCACTAATGTGTGTTGAAATTTTTCACTAACGAAAAGACACAGCAGCGTGCATCAGAACTTGTTCAAGTGTGGTCTCACAAGTTTCAGTGATTACTATGTGCAATGAGTGAAGTGTAAATGAAAAATACTTCTGACCTGTACGTCAGGCTTCCAATAAATAATGACTGTGCATGTGCAAACAAATTGCAGTTGTCTTCTTTTCTTTTGAACACAAGCTCACCCAATAAGGATTTAAGTTTATGAACTACACATTTAGTACTCCGTAATTATTCAACATCACTACCACGTGACAATACACAAATTCAACTGGACAATGGAAGCGAAACAAGAAGGATCACTGTTTCTCCACGAACTTCAAAGGGGAATGCCATTTTAAGTATGCTTCACATTTCAATAAAGTTGGAATGCTAGAGGCTCATGTGCTTAGACTTAGGTGCACATTGAAGAACTTCAGATAGCTAAATTTCTGGAGCCCTCCATTACAGTGTCTCTCATACAGTAAAAGCTCGTTAATTCGGATTTCACGGGACCAGAAAAACTGTCCGAATTAACCGAATGCCGAATTAACGAATGAACAGGGAAAACAACATTTAAAGTCAAGCTGCAGAAGCATACGTTTATTTGTTGAAGTATTTTGTAATTGTCGTCTGCGTTTTCGCGCAGATTCCGACTGACATCACAATTTTTCTTAACTGTTCCAAATGGCCAACAGCACGCAAGCTGTCGGGAGTGTTCAGGCAAGCGTCCTCTAATATTAACAGCGCCTCTAAGACTTCCCGTGAGGTGCGATGACGGTCGCGGCTGTATCTCCTCGCATGATTCTTCGTCGGAATCGTGGTCTTCATGGGCGCCCGTGACATCATTAATAATCTCTTGATCGGTCAGGAGACCACTCGTGGCGACACCATGATCAATCGCGATGTAGTCCTGAAAGGTCACATCTGTGGGAAGGACAGCATCGAAAGTCGGGCAGTCATTGTCGGTGGAATCGGCTGACACCTCCTCGATGCCATCGTCAGCTACTGCTGCATGCTCGGGCCTCACAAAACTGCTGTGCCGAAAACAGTTGGCGATGACTTGCGGCGGAGTGTTTTTCCACACGTGGGCGATGATGTGCACTGCGCCGAGTAAGTGCACTTGATACAACTTTCCAGCTTCTGAGCATAAGATCATTCGCTCTAGCAGGTGCTTGCGGTACTTCGACTTCACGTAGTGAATGATACGTCCTGGTCCATCGGCTGAAGAGCAGACGTAGTGTTGGGCGGCAAAAAAAACTACTTTGATGCTCTTCAGTTCGACTGTACAGTTATGGGCACTGCAGTTGTCAACAACCATAATTATCTTGCGGTCCTTCGACGTGAAGTGCCGGGCCAACTGCTGCAGCCAGCCGCGAAAAATGTCCGATGTCATCCATGCCTTCCTGTTCGCTGTGTACTCGACAGGAAGGCTTTTGACGTTCTTAAAACAACGTGGCTTAAGCGCCTTCCCGACGACAAGTAGTGGCAAGCGCTCCATGCCAGTCATACTGGCGGCAAGAAGCACAGTTATCCTTTGCTTGCACTTCTTGCCACCAATGCACGCGTCCCCTTTGAAAGTCACCGTCTCGTCGGGCAGAGCTCTGAAAAATAGAGCAGTTTCATCTGCATCGAACACGTCACGTGGTTCATATGCGGCGATGTGCTCCAGCAGCTTCACATTTCTCCACTCGGTGGTCACGCTTTCGTCAACACTGGCCTTTTCGTCGCACACACTCCTGAAGACAAGTTCGTATCTCTCTCGAAACCTCGCAAACCACCCTTCTGACGCTTTGAACGATTCAATGTTCATCATTGCAGCGTACTTCTCACCTTGCGCCATGATGAGAGGTCCGCTCAAAGGCAGATGCGCGTTGCGACAGTGAGTAATCCACCGAAGCAGAGCTTCTTCGAGCTGGGGATGAGCTGCGGTTCGCAACCGCTTTCTAGAGGCACGAAACTTCTCCCTTTCGAAGGCTTGTCGAATCTGTTGTTCATTTTTCACGTACGTTCCTAACGTGCGCCGCTTCACGTTGTACTTGGTCATAACCTGCTGTCGCGATTCGCCGTTCTTCAGTGCTTCCAAAATTTCCACTTTAGTCGCCAAGTTCTTCGCGTCGTAGTTCTGCCGCTTTTTTGGCGTTGCCATCACTGTAGCGCACGATGGTGGTGGCATGCAAATACGGCCACAATGGAAGAAAAAGAGAACTCCGCAAGAAGAGATGGTTCCGACACGACAACACAAGGGAAAATGGCGTCGGAGGCGCTGAGTGGAGAAGAAAGAAGACGCCGACGTTCGGTGACGCTGCGATCACCCCCACTAGTTGATGATGATGGCGATGCCACTCAGGTTTCGGTTTCACTTCAGTGGTGCCAGCACTGCTTTATCACACTTTTGTGTAGCAGCAGCCGTCAGCATTTGTCCGAATTAAGCGGTGCGGAGCCGAATTCCGACAAAATAACGAAGGTTTGGTCCCATAGATTAACATGCACTTTGGCCGGGACCAATAGAGCTGTCCGAATTATCCGAATTTCTGAATTAACGGGTGTCAAATTAACGAGCTTTTACTGTATAATGTTGTTGTTCTAGGACTTAAGACGCCGGCAATTATAATTCAAAGTACACTCTCACAAACAAAGCCAATCACTGACCTGTGCTTCCTTGGTCCGCATCTCCTCTTCAAGCTTCTTCAGAAGTGGGTCTTGCCGGTTCAGCTCCTGCTCGAGGCGGGCAATCTCCTTCTCCAGGTTGGCCATGCTCTTGTTGCGGATGTTGTCGCGGTCCGTCACGGAGTAGCGCACGCGCGTCTCCAGGCCCCGGATCTGCGACTGCAGCGTCGTCAGGTCCGACTCCTTGCGGGTGCGCTTCATCATCTCCTTCAGCTCCTCAGTGAGCTTCTCCTTGCGCGCCTTGAGCGTGTGGAAGGCCTTGTCATCCCAGCGTCGCGCCCGCTTCGCCAAGTCAGTGCTGCCGCCCGAGATGAAGCCGTTCTTCTGGTAGTACGTGCCGTCCAGCGCCACTGCGTCATACCTGGAAGCCACACTGTTAGTGGTGTTGACCGCGAAGAAACAGGAATTAGCAACGACACCCTCACCCTCTTCAGCTCTTCACATAGTTCCACACAGTCAACGCTTTGTTTTGAGTTCGTATGGCATTACGAGGCAAGACAATCGCCGGTTTACTTCTAGTTGCAGTTGTACGATGCAGTCTTTCTGTTTACCTTTGCCTCCTTGAATGCTTGTCTCAGTGCTGCCTCTTTGCGAGTTGAACTTCTTGAAACTTAATGCAATTTTTCTCATTGTTTCCCGTGACTCAAAGACAGTAAATGCACAGGCACTATTCTGCTAGTCCCTTTCAGTGCCACATGGAGGTCCCATATCGCAAAACAGTTGAAAACATACTGCCAAGCTTTGGAAAATGCTAAATAATTTAATATAGCAGTTTCTGTACAGCCAGTTTCAGCTATGATTCCCGTTAATGCGTCATGACATCACGACTCGAAAGTGTTCACCGAGAAGCACCAACATAACAATCGACACTGTCTTCAGCTCGCTAGGTTGTCTGCTAAGCTGCTGCACTAGCCGTCGCAACAAATAGCAGTATAGCGGCAACCACACAAGATGAAGAGAGCAAACAAGATGTCCTAATCTTGCGCTTCCATGCATAGATCGGCGAATTCAGCTCGACTCACTCTGACTCACTCAGACTCGAATCGAGCCGTGAGTCTGAGAGAATCTGAGTAAATAATATTTTGGCGAATTTGAGCCCAAGTGAGTCCGGTAGAAAAAATTTTTCTGAGCGTGAGTCTGAGTGAATACGGCTCAGGAATATTTTGGCAAGTCTGAGTCCGACTGAGCCTTAAGCGCAAAATATATTTCATGAGTGAGTCTGAGCGAGTGCCACAATTTTCGCTTACGTATGCTTCTATGTGACATCCTCCACAGTTGTGACACCAGACACAGCTTGAACAGGAATCAGAACTACAACTGCCCGTAGCAAACTCAGTGTTTTTGAAGGCTTTGCAGTATGTTTTATATGTACTGATGGGCTAGCTGGCGAGTTGTGCTTTTTGAAGAAGCAGCGCACAGAAGAATACAATACACAGACACATAAAAGACACAGGTGCTTGTGTTTGTGTCTTTTATGTGTGCATGTTTTGCATCCCCTTGTGCAGTGCTTTTTCACAAAGCATCGCAGTATGTGCTCTACGGCTCTAGGACCATGTCTTCATAAAAAAAAAAAGAAGAAACTTGAAAATATCATGTCAGTGTGGCGGGCTAACAAGTTATTCCTTACTTCTCTTATTTTATGCCCACAAAGGAACAGCAATGCATTTATCATGACCACACATTGCAGCATGTTGCAGGTTTTTTACTAGAGCTGAGCGAATTGCGAAATTTTGGGTGTGAAGTGAATTCAAATATTGAAATGTAAGTGAGAATCGAATGAAACATTTTTCTAATATTTTTTTAACAGTTCAAAGCGAAATATTGGAGGAAAAAGTTGGAGAGGATTTACAAGTACACTCAAACCTCAATTTAATGAACCAAGATATAACAAAATATCGGTTATAACAAAGTAAATAATGAATAGCTTTGCAAGAGTTTGTGGGGATCTGAGGCGCGCCTGCGACCATTTCGCGGGCATTCCGCCGCACGGCCTCACCCTTTTGCTTTTCCTGCTCTGATAACGACGTGTGGCGATAGATGGCGCCACGTGCGGGCACGGCACGCGGTACGCGCGCGCCGAGGGAGCGCTCTTTTTTCCGTGGTCGGCGCCGGGAAAGCACGTGTTTTTCTTCGTCCGCATCCCTTCTGGGAATCGCCGGACTTTAGCCTGCCTGGAGTGGCCTTGGGCACTTCGGCAGGCGTGTTTACTTGAGTGCTAGCTTCGGCAGCGTACGCTAAGCCCACAGCGGTGCCTAGTGCTTGAAGTGGTCGTACCACACCAAGCCCGCACTTGCCGTAGGCCTACGCGTACGAGGTTTGCCCTAACACTCGCGACCAGGCCCATTGGCCATCATGAGAGTGCGCAGCATAACCGCGAGGGACCTTTTCCCGTACCGGCGTGTCAAAGCTCGCCATTGCCAACTGCGACGTGCTCGCGGTTTTCCCCTTATTGTGAACGTCCGCGTGCGGGTGCCTTTGCTACCCGCGTCCCGGGAGCGGACGTTGTACTGTTGTTCGGGGTGCCGCCAGAGGCAATAAAGTGTTGTGTATTTTTGCATTAGAACACTGTCTGTTTGCCGCGCCGTGCTAAACGCCTTATTAGTTGAGCGCGCTCGGAGCGGTGCGCTACACGCGAGTAAATGGAGTAGCGGCCCTGTGGCTCGCTAAGCGTGAACCCGCGGTGATCGTGCGCTGCAGCTTAGTAGCGGGAGTCACCATAAGTTTTAGGAATATATCTTTATAACAAAGTTTTGAATATAACAAACTTATTTTGGTGTAAGATGCAATTTTGTTATAATGAGGTTCGAGTGTATATTATTATGAGATATAGGAACAGGAAAGGGTTTCTTTTCACTAGATTGACAAAGCACTGGCACGGTGGTACTTCATAGTTGTTTTATGAAAAATGAGTCAATCCAAAGGCCAAATAGTATTGGTATATGAATTAGTGCAATCAAAGCATTGCCGACAACACTTTACACGTGAAAGGCAAAGATGCTATTTTCCTCCACCTCTCCTCCTCTTTCAACTTTTGTGGAAGCCGAACTGATGTGTCATACAAGATTGCGCTCTGTTCGAGTTACAAATCTGCCTCGTAGATGTCAACAAACAAGAACACAGAAAATTCGGATGTTAAAAATTTTTGGCATCCTAATTTTCCAGACTTCCTACCCTAAACTTCAGGTCGAAAACGGCATTAATTGAGCCCTGACATTTGCCACATCTATCATCTCCATGTTGGAACCACCGTTTTCTAGAGTCAATACATTTGCGAACGTAGCAGAGGTTGAGAGGCAGCTTTGCCGCAATACAGTGTCATGAGGTGAACCACGCTAAGAATCTGAAGGGGTCACTTTTAATTTCATAACTGTACTTTGTCTTGAAAAAAATTCAATCACAGCGAAGCCTGAAAGGCGGGTTTGCCACAATACAAGAATTTGACGAGGTGAAGCATATTACAGGTCTGACGGGGTCATTTTCAAAAGGACTTCACTGCATTTGTCTCTGGGAAGTTCTAATAGTTTGAATAGTAAAAATATCGGTGTGAATCGAATCGAAAACACTATTCGAGAAAAACATTTAAAATTTTGAATATTCGCACACCCCTACAACTTACATCTCTCAAGCGAGAGAGAGAAAGAGAGAAGGTTTAGCTTGCCAGAGTTATCCAATTAAGTTTTCAGTTTGTCTCTTTGCTATATAAAAAATATTTGGTCACTACCATACAGTGACAAAACATGACATCACGGAAAATGGAATACTAACGCTAGGTCGCTGCTGCCACCAACCATAGGTTTTTCAGAATGCACAGTGCCTTGCTGGGCATGTTGGTACGGCAACATTGAAGAAAGCAGAGTAAAAAACATAGACAAAGTAAGGACCATGTGCACTGTGCACATGTGGTTCTCACCTTGTCTCCATCTCCTCCGCTGCTTTCTACAATGACCATATATTTTTATGCGACTCTTAAAATGCCCGACAGACATAGATCTTCCGAATTTACTTGCATAATAGGCACATCCTAAAGTTTGGTGGAGAAATCAGGTTTTTTTTTTTTAATTTCCATGCATAATAGGCACGCCCAGAACTTGGCCGGAATCACTAGTTCAGCACCGTGCTACATGATTGCGATTCGACGCCCTCTTACGTTAACTGAAGTGGGCTTGCCGAGTCAGCAAGGGCGATTGCTTGGGTGTCAGATTAACCTTTGCACTAGTGCCGATGTGGCTCTGGCTGATAGCACGACCGTGCGCGATCTGCCTAAAACGAGCGATCGCGTCCCTCGTGAAGTGCCCATTGAGTTTCCTGTCGGCAAAAGCGTCATCGTTATCGCATTTGCTACTTCATCCACAAATTTAAAAGGTTTTCGACTTTGCAACGCATGTTTTTGCCTTTGCTGCCATTACGCGAACTTGCGCAAGCTTTTCTGGCCGCCAACCTAAACATCGTATAATGCGCGCCACTTAGATCAGTGCTTCAGTGCATTCTTTTTGACGTTAAATCTTCATGTTGTCTAGCGCAAACTTACCACGACAACATGTCTAACCGCAGCCCAGACCTAATCACTGTTGGTGCTTTTCAGTGGCGGTTGCGGGCGATCACAGTTGCGATCCTTGTGCAGAATCAACAAAACTCTTTTCGATGTCTCTATTTGAAGTTTTGAAAGGGGGCTTGGGTGGTGCTTCTAGCACTCGAATAGTGGTTCGTGATTCGATTGCTATGTCTGCGATGGCACTTTATCTTCGTACTTTTTTTTTTTCGTTTTCATTTGGTTGGCAACGTGAATGTTTGATGTTAATTTTTAAGAATTTCGATGCACACCCTGTCGCATGCCTCAATCATCGGGCACGCGGCAGACTGCATGCTCAGCATGTTTTGCACTAGTGTAGCCTATGAAGAAGGTTGTTTCAGCTGTGGTGCAGATATTCATGACTTCAGAGACGTGCATTATCGACAGTCTATACTGTAGCTGAAAATAAAAATATCGGAATTGTACTCCGCGTACTGGTAATCGCACCCCGAACTTCAAACTAGATTTCTCGAAAAAAAAAAAAAAAGTGCGCCGGTTATGCGAATAAATACAGCAATTCCAGTGGCATAGGTCGCCATATGGCATAAGCTGCACAATTCTAACTTGACACTCGACGCGAAGCGTAGTATAAAACTTATTTCAAGAGCAGAGCTTAAAGGTTGACGTAAAATGTCGGGTGCCTGAGAAAAAACCTTTCATGCCGTTGCTTATCAGCCGTGCCCAAACAATGAAGACGACCCGTCCGGCCACCGCGCCCAGCTTGTCCGCAGCGCAAGCAGAGTACAAGCATCAAAAGGTCTGCGCTTCTACCAAGGGTACCACAACCAGCT